GGCTCACATATGTTCAATTTAGAGTTGCCAGTCCACATATGTAAGCCTGCCAACAAAAGAATGTCCTGGAAATTGAAAAACATGCAACAAAATGGGTCGAACAAAACAATCATGTCTGGAAAAATGTGTAAAAACTAATTAAATCAGATAATAATGAAAAGAAAACAGTCCAAACGATCAAAGCTAATTTATAGAAGATGAGAGAGAGGATGAAGAATACATTCCTTCCACAATAATTTGTGAACTGCTTTTGATCCAACAGAAATAAGCAAAACTTATTTTCAAATTAAAATGAAGGCAACAAATGATTCATACTGTTTGATTATTCGCCTTTTTCATGGACATTTTGACATTTCGTCCAAATAAAAAAAGAAGATATAAATAATAGGATGTAATAAAATAATGAAAGCTGAATCCTATTTAGCTGTTATGGTTATAGTCTGAGTATTCTGTATGATGGCTCCTTGCAAAGGCCTATTGTTAAGTCATTATTAAATCTATAATAACAGGTGCTTTTCCTAATATGACAAACATGTGAGCCAAAATGTCTGCAGTAAAAATGTCTATCCAAAAAGTCTCACTGCCAGTGGAAATACTTTTTTTAAATTAGTAGTCACACCAGGGAATACAGTGACGAAGAATATCTCCTTGCCTTTCCCATAATCATATATAATAAACCTATTCTTGTTTCAGTGACGGTGTAAAACAAACTAATGACACTGAATAGTCATAATGTCATACGTTTGATTCATGTTGATCATGTCAGCTGCTACAACACAGTCATGACACTGTTATGCACACCCCTTCAAATAAAGTGTCATACCAAAAGTGTGTTGTGGGTGGGAGAGGAGGTGGTGGGGCCGTGAGCAGCAGAGGTGAGAGGATTCAAAATAACGCAGAGGTGGGTAGATTGAAGAGACGGCGAGAAGGTGTACATGGAGAAGAGGGGGAGATACCGAAATAGAGAAGGTGTGCGAGGAGCAAGATAGGTGTGAACAATGTAACCAAGTTTTTGGTAGAAAATAAGAAGGTGATGAGCAGGCAAGAATCGGAGAGGAAGACTAATCTGTAAAAACACAGCCAGGAGAATTTAAAAGGAATTAACAAGATGAGATAAAGCACTTCGAAGGTATTGACATCCATCAAGGTGTGATTATTATTTATTTAAATGCTAGCAGATAGCACCTTAACACAAGGTGGTGACAGTGCAGAGGCTGGTGTTTCCAATTCTGTCTAGAGGGAAGAAACTATTTTAGTGAGAGAATGCCGGAGAACAAAAGTATGTAGGAGTTGAGTTATCAGCTGCACTGTAGAGTGTGTGCATGTACTGTATATGTTAATAGTGAGCTTCAGCCTCAGAGGATTACAAATAACAGTAACTCTGTATTCACCAGTCAGAAAGCTGCAGTATGGCAATTAAATCAATATACTGATACCCTTAGGTCTTCTAGCCATCACTGTCAAACCACATTTCTGCTCCACCAGCTATAATATAAATAATAACAAATAAAATACAGACATAATAATAACAAAGTGTGTTAAAAGTGTATTGCAATATTACATAATAATTGAAGTGAGGTATATATTACTTAAACGCAGCAGAATAAAAGGAGAGGAAAATCAATTCTACAAAGTAGAGTGACCAGTGTAAATAATCTACAATAGGCATTTTGTGGACTCCTTTATTGGATTTTTTGTGAGAAGTCTTGCTGCAACAACTTTTAAACTAGTTGTAGTTTGGAGAGGTTGTATGGGGTGAGACAAAACAAAGTTGACACTTCCCCATACACCCTGACAGCATCCCATCAACAAGAACTAATACACCAGGAGTTGCAACACTTAGACCCCATTTACACGGGAACATTTGCGTTTACGCACCGTATGCGTTTTCAAAAAAGTATTCCGTTCACAAGAGAAACTATGCGGATACAACCCGTTTCGTCCTCGTGTAAACGGGGTCTTAAACTATGCAGCTGTAGCTCTGCCTTCACAGTATGGTTTCAAATCATTACTCGTTCCACTCACTCTATCAGTACCACTAATTCCAAGGCTTCCTTAATACCAGCTGGGAGGACAAACACTTTGAAAAATCACCACGCTCATCATCATGCAGAATGGAGTGGAGTCTGTGCTTATCTAAAGTGCATTATCAACTCAAGGTGTCTCAAACCACTTAACAATACAATAAGATTAACAGGAGCATCAACATATGCAACACTGACAGACAGACAGGTCATCATCACCCCTTTATAAATAGAGGCTTAAAAACGTTTCTGGCGGGGGATGTCACTTTAAAGATCCGAGTAAAGGAACAATCATGCCAACATTCCAAACTGCTAAATAATGTGTTGAAATCAATACATTTGAATGGAATCTCTGTAATAATTGGATTCACTCTCTAGGTCTAAATACTACATGTTTCTTTATTCACTCTAATGTAAACTTTGGTGAACTGTAAATACAAGTGTGTGCGGTATTGAACAACAGTAAGCTGTGCTGACAGGGTTGACCTTTGACGAACAATGAGTCAGAGAATCTATTGTAGCTAATTAACTGTTGCATCATCCACCTTTAATAAACCACCTCTGTCAGAGAATAAACTACTTTTTTCAAAAGAGAAATGGTTATGATATAACACAGATGGTATAAACTTTGTCAACTTGCTGTTAGCAACAGGGCTTACAAGGTCTTCAATAACTCTTAATTATGTATATTCCCGAGTATAAAATGCCATGGCTGGTTGGCGTGTTAGCAGTTAGCTCACCAACTACAGTAATATCCAACGTCAAGATAATGTGTGGATGACATTTTCACTTTTGGTTTATCTTTACTTAAACCTCACACTGACCAAATGGGAACATCCTTCCCAATAATACATTTGTTGCGACACTATACAACACACATTTGTATGTGCTAGAGCTGAACGATATATCGTGTCATGGCGATAACCGCGATATTCACATCGCAGGGACGTGCAATTGTATGGAGCCCTGGAGGGTTCATAGAGAGAAAAATAAATAAAACGTGGCCACGTTTTACTTTCTTGTGCGCACGAGTTACTAAAGCGTGCGCACGAGTTAATAAAGAGTGCGCACGAGTTACTAAAGCGTGCGCACGAGTTACTAAAGCGTGCGCACGAGTTAATAAAGCGTGCGCACGAGTTACTAAAGCGTGCGCACGAGTTAATAAAGCATGGCCTCGTTTTGTGTGTGTGTGTGTGTGTGTGTGGGGGGGGGGGGCATTTGTTTATGATAGTATCGTTCGTTCCGGTGCACTCCGGAAGGACTATAGCACATCGAGATTAAGATTAAACACATTTCTTTCACTTGGGAATACACTTAACTATGGGGAACCAGATTTGTTTAAAGTACTGTTCGTGGTAATTTGAAAACAAATGCCGGTGGTGTCGGATACACACGAACACGCACACAGAGCGGAGCTGAGCACACACACACACATCATGCGCCCCGGTGACAGGACATCTCCTTCATAAAACGAGGGGGAATACTCTGGTAGTTCGATGTGTGTATAGGTGTGTGTGGTTAAACGTAGCAGCCTCGATCTCTATTCAGCAGTTCTAATGAAGGGAAACGCAGTGAAGTAAACAGTAAAAGGCACAGCTCTTTGCAGCTGGTGCTGCTCTTCTCAGATTCTGCTGAGTTACACGTTACTGCCTCCAGTGCCCTGTACGACGAAGCCAGTTCAACAGACCCTGGACCTGGATATGTTCGATTTACCCGGCTTAACTAACCCTAACAAACACGATGTCAATAAGCGGTCCTACGAAGCTGGTTATCAACTCAGTAAATCAACCAGGGTTTCTCTGTCCGGCTGAGAGCGCGTTCACGTGAAAGGGACGGGGTTAGCAACATTTGACCAATCACAAACATGGAGACGCGTGCTGACAGCGCAGCGTCATACTTCATGAATGAATAGTGTAAATAGCAAATCCTGCTTCGTAGTACAGGCCACTGGTGCCGCAGAGATTTCATAAAGTGAAGGAGGTTTTCCTTCTATAAAACAGCTGTGGGCAGCAGATTCTGTGAGTCACGGACAGGAATCCCTCAATTTAAATAAAGCGAGGCCACGCTTTATTAACTCGTGCGCACGAGTTACTAAAGCGTGCGTACGAGAAAGTAAAACGTGGCCACGTTTTATTTATTTTTCTCTCTATGAACCCTCCAGGGCTCCGTACAATTGTATTCATTTTGTTTATTCATTTTTTTTTTTTAGGACGTGTGATATTAAGTAGGTAAATTAACTCAAACACGTCATGTTACAATTATTTTGCTGCTTGCTACAAAAGGAAAACTTGCGCGGCTCTCATGTCAGGGGTACTTGAGTGAGTGACATGCAAGCTCTGCATGCACAGCAAACCACCAATCACAATCATTCTTGATCAGATCACAGCAGGCCCCGCCCCGCTAGTTTGCAGACCATCAAAACACCGGTAAAAAATGAGCGAGGAACAGGAGGACAATACCGGCGAGAATGAAGATATACTTCCAAAAAGAAAAGCAACATCTGCCATCTGGAACTATTTTGGATACAAAAAGGTTCTTCTCTTCTTCATTCACAGATGAACTCCCTTATTTGAGGGTAAGCAACATGCATTATCATGACATGTTAGATCATGACTTAAGGTATGATGAGTCAACCAGTTAAGATCCAGACGTCCGTGACTAAAATCCTTCATCCGGTTGAATATAGTTAAAAAAAAAACGCAATACTGTATATATCGCAGGGGGAAAAAATATCGCAATGTCAGTTTTTTTCAATATCGTGCAGCCCTAGTATGTGCATAATACTACTTTCATCAGGAGAAATAAGGCCTAACCCCCAGCAACCACCAGTCACACATGACACCATGAATGATCACACTTACCCACAGAAGATTGTCAACAATGGTGCGTGTCCTTATACATTTGCCGTGCTGTGCATGGATTCTAATTCTATGCGTATCCACAAACACATTATAGGCTTAGGTCCTCATAACTCACCATAACTGAGATGTGTAGCATATGCATGTGTTCATGTAGGGCATGAGCAGGCTCCCGAGCTGTTGGTTGTGTTGTCTGGGCGAGAAGCTCCGACTCAGTCATGGACACATGGAAGTACAGCGTCCCATTTTCCAACCACTGCTGCTTCCAGTGTACCTGAGAAATATCTTGTCCCGTACCGGACATCTCTGCAAAAGACAAGGAGAGAGGACATATAACACATAAGAGGTTATCATTTAAACTGTGTCTGGTAAAGTCAGTGTTCCTAACCTTATTGTGTGAAGATGCGTGGGAAAGAAAAACATCTAAATAGCCTTTGAGGAATAAACCAAAGTTCAAATGTGTTTGTTTGTTCTGCATTAGTATTCCAGTGCAGTGCTCTGTCTCAGCGCACATCAACACAGCACTGAGACTAGAAACTTTGAACTGTTGAATAGCTGGACAGATTTCCTAGTCATAATTGTGTGCATTTGAGCAGCTGGCTCTGGAATAATTACTGTCAAGCCACTGCATTGCTTAGCCGCTGTGATGAAATCTTTAGGATGACAACTCTCTCACCCATGGTATTAGACAGAGATTTCTGAATTCAAAATGCAGAAGCATCACAAATGTTTTCAGCGCTCACAATCAATGCAGAACTTCAGTTGAAGACACAATGAGTCACAGATGGGAAAGGCTTATCCCCGTTTATATCCATTTGTTTACACTTTTCTTTTTTTGTATGGCAAAACAGACAACACTTCTCCTAATGGGAAGACAATTAGTTTATTAAGCTTGATTGAAAACATATGTGCCAAGCTGTTGTATAAATGCTGTCTTACCATTCAATGTCCTCTGCTCATCTGCATAAACTGCCCTACATTATATGCATATACTAGGGATGCACGATAATTATCGGCCCGATAATTATCGGTCCGATATTAGGAATTATGACGTCATCCCGATAAACCCGATACCAGTATTAACAGCCCCGATAATATAAACTACATTTTTTGGGTAAAAAAAAAGAAAAAAATACTGCGGTGTGGGTGGATTGGGATGAGGGGCGCTTGTTTTTCACTCGGCTCCTCCCGTTTTGCCAGTACTGTGGTATTAGTGGTTTAGGAAGAGGGGAGTTCTTCACAAATCCAGCGCTCCCTAACTCATGCCTGGCTGTGACGTAAATGGTGTGCGGCCGTGAAGCCAGGACAGTAAACAAACATGTCGTCGGTGGTATGGGCGTTGGAGCTATGTGCAACTCAAGGCATATGCTCGAACCGGAGCTGCCTGGACGCTGCAATCATGTTGCGCACTATCCGTGCTGAGTGTGCTGACTTTTCGTACAATGTCCCACTGTCTGGCTTCCTGCATAAAGTCAAGTGCTCGGCGCAGTTGTGGCGAAATGTCGCTCCTCTGTTTTCATTTAAACAGCTCCTTATCCGTTAGCGCAGCTAGCTAGCACCAGATGCTAACAACAACAATGCACGTAAGGTCTCTCGCTCGCTCGGGCCACACATATACACACCCTCCCGGTCCTCCAGATGGCCAGTCGGTGCCTTTATATATACAGTCTATGGTCGGTGCCTGCCGGTGAGCGTGGAAGTGTGGTCTGCCACAAGCGGGCGGCAGGAGCGGGGCTGTCAGCATCAGCTTGTAGATGGTATTTTAAACTCGATGCGCTCTGAAACTACGGGGCGGCCAAGGAAAAAAAATACACATGCGTTAATCGCGTTAAAATAATTAGTGGCGTAAAATTGTTTTTATTATCGGTTATCGTATCGGTATCGGTCTTGAGAAGCAGGAAGTTATCGGTATCGGTATCGGTTTCAAAAACCAATATCGTGCATCCCTAGCATATACAAAACAATCAGCTCCAAGCCACTACTGGCATTAAACAACAAACATCAAAGGAATGCTAGAAAAGTTCAAAAGCACAGGAGAGAGGGAAACATGTGCAACCAAAAAAAAGAAAGACCCAATTGCATTTTATGGAGCAATGGGAAAAGGAGATGAAAAAGAGCGGATGGGGGTAGGGGATGGTAAGCAGTTATCTCGATATGGACCATGACACAAGAATTTAATGTTATCCAGTAGGAGTGGTTGTTCAGTAGAGGAGTACCGAGGAGCCTCAGGGAGCCTCAGATTGGGAGGCTTGATACAGTGTGTGTCATGTGGCTCGGTGACAAGGGCATAGACATCTGCTGACATCTCCTATCAGGAGAAGGTGTCGGCTGGTTATTAACCCGCTGACTCTGGGTCAGAGGATATGAACTGCGGGGTGCGGTTATGTGCACTCTGCTCAGTAGTGCCATGGGCCCTAAGGGGCAAGGAGAGAGCATGCAGAACAGACATACCCCGAGAAAATTACAGAATGGTAACAAAATATATAGACCCTATAAATCTCCATTAACAAGTAGACAGCATTATATATACTGAACAAAAATATAAACGCAACACTTTTGTTTTTGCTCCCATTTTTCATGAGATGAACTCAAAGATCTAAAACATTTTCTATATACACAAAATAACCATTTCTCTCAAATATTGTTCACAAATCTGAAAAAATCTGTGATAGTGAGCACTTCTCCTTTGCCGAGATAATCCATCCCACCTCACAGGTGTGGCATATCAAGATGCTGATTAGAGAGCATGATTATTGCACAGGTGTGCCTTAGGCTGGCCACAATAAAAGGCCACTCTGAAACGTGCAGTTTTGCTTTATTTGGGGGGTCTGGGGGGGTCAGAAAACCAGTCAGTATCTGGTGTGAGGGGTAGGATTAGGTTAGGTAGGTTAGGGTTAGGGTAATGTTGTGAATTGAGTGGCCTGTGTTCGTTATCCATAACATACGCCTGCCCATACCATAACCCCCACCACCACCATGGGCCACTCAATTCACAAAATTACCCTAACCATACCCCTCACACCAGATACTGACTGGATTTCTGACCCCCCCAGACCCCCCCCAATAAAGCAAAACTGCACGTTTCAGAGTGGCCTTTTATTGTGGCCAGCCTAAGGCACACCTGTGCAATTATCATGCTGTCTAATCAGCATCTTGATATGCCACACCTGTGAGGTGGGATGGATTATCTCGGCAAAGGAGAAGTGCTCACTATCACAGATTTTTTCAGATTTTTGAACAATATTTGAGAGAAATGGTTATTTTGTGTATATAGAAAATGTTTTAGATCTTTGAGTTCATCTCATGAAAAATGGGAGCAAAAACAAAAGTGTTGCGTTTATATTTTTGTTCAGTGTATATATATATGTATATATATATATATATATATATATATATATATATATATATATATTCATTGTAGAGCTGTAATTAACAATGTATAGTATGCTTTCCCTTATTGTTTTTACTTCTTGGATTTAATAATTAACTATTTGGTAGACATGTACAGCAACATGTCTAATCCATGGCATCTTCATATTGTTTTTAGAGACAATAAATCCCAACTTAAAACAGGAAGTAGGTTTTTCTCATAAATTAATGATAAGACTAATCAATAACCTACATTGTTTAAAAACATTTCTGACCTTCAACTCATTGATTACTCCAGCATTCTGACAATTTACACACCCTTTGAAAGTAGACTATATTATTCCTCTTGTATCCTAAGTGCTCTGAGGTGCTCTATACTTTTGCTGAATGCAGCTTATGATAAAATCTTGTATTGTGTGAAATTCCTAAATGCCATAACTGCTGGCTATTCAACTCATTATGTTTAATCTGTGGGCTGTAGACACACTGCTTGACCTTTCACCTTGACAGGAGATAAAGCTCTGTCTGCTGGGCCAACAGTGAGGTTACTCCCGCCATCTGTTACGGTTTTAAACAAGCTCCTGTCAAATTCACCTTGGAATGTTGCTCACATGCTAGTATGTGCATTTCAGAATGCTTTAAATAACTCTGATTGTACACAACGCTGACAATGTTTGATCCTAATTAAGAGGGATTTTCAGGTGGACAAATTAAAATCTAGTGTTGTACTAGAAGCAATCACATGCAGGATGGAAGGATAGTAATAGTTTCAAGGGCTGTAGCCTACCTTTGTGCTGTTGTTATGTAAATGAGAAAGCTCAGTAAGCATGCTATTTAAAGACAAAAGGAGTGTGTGTATGTGTGTGTGTGTAGGTGTATGTGTGTGTGTGTGTGTGTGTGTGTGTGTGTGTGTGTGTGTGTGTCCTTGTCTTTTGTGCTATGAGGCTTGTCATTGGGCACCTGGCCAGACGTTACTGGGATATAGGTGTATGGCCTCAAGGTCTGCTAGTAATTCATTAGGAGGAACATTATTAATGTGTATATGTGTGTGAGTGTGTACGTGCCTACTGTTTGTGTGTGACTGACGCGAGTATACGCTCGCAGCAAGGGTGTCAGCATTACAGTGTACTTAATAACTGTGTCCAAGGACGACTGAGGTATGCTATACTGAATGTTTTATAGAAAATAATATGCCAGTAACTGTAAGGATCTCACATTATCATGCTTTGGTTATACAGGGTGAAACAGCATATTTGAGAAACTCATGATTCATTTTACTTATGCCTAGTGAGCATTGTGGCCAGAACGCTACATTAAAAGAGAGATGAAATGCATTATACCATACTGATGGTTTTATATTGTTTGTATCATAACTAAAAATACAAAATTATTTACATTACCGGTGACAATTTTATCAAAGCATACACTAAATGCAGTGTACCAGTATAAAGGTTTCAAATACATTTCAGTTCATTTAATACCATGTGAACCTCAGCTTTAAATTGATTGTGTGTGCTAATCTCGGAGCAGTAGTAGGGCTGCTCAATTAATCGTATTTTAATCGCAATTACGATCAAAATCAAAAACAATTTGTATTGGTTTTTCAGTTGAATTATACTTAAAGTTCAGGGTAATCAACTGTTAAAAACATTATTATTTTTTTCAATAAATGGATGTTTTCAAATTAAAAGGATAATCGTTTTTAATAATCGTGATATCAATTATTGACCCAAATAATCGAGATTATTATTTTTGCCATAATTCGAGCAGCCCTAAGCAGTAGTAATTAAAAAACGTTTTCTCATTCATACATTCCATCTGCTGAAATGCAATAGCGAACCTTTAACCTAACACCTACCAATTTTAAAAACAAAAAAGGGCAAATATTCTAACTATTAATTGGTAGATCTCATATTATATATATATTTTTTATTTTT